GAAAAGGCTGCTTGTCTTTAAGTGACACTTGGAGTGGACGGCAGATAAAGACACTTCTAGAACAGCCTCATGACTGGCTTTGCTTTCTCCTTCTCCATTCACTCTTTTCAGGAATAAGACTCGTGCTTGCATTTTGAGGCTGCCTGGGCAGCAGGCACCTTCAGCTATGGGGAAATATGTTCTTGGGGTTGGGAGGGCAGAACCAAGAACAGGAACCTACCCAGTGACAGCACAGCTCAGGAGGCTGCAATTCACCCATACACCAAGCAGCGAGGGAAAGTCTTCTATTCTGGTCTGGATAACCTCTGAAACATTCGGATGCTTTTCCAAATCCCTTTGGCTTGGAAACCAGGCTGGCAAGCTCCCCAGCAGTCTGATTTTTTTTTTTATTTTATTTTTTTTTCTTTTTGGCTGGTTTTCCAGTGCTTCCTGTCTTTGGCTGGGATGGAAATACCACAAGAATGGTCTTCCTTGAGTATTCCAGAACTTTCACTTCCAGTCCCACCTCAAGCTAGGGTGTGCCGAAGCATGTGGAAAAGACAGACTAAGAAGCACTTCCTGGTGGCATGGCAGCCTGGAGCTCCTCGCTGTGCATGCTGGCTGCAAGGCTCGGTTGCTGTGGGAGCAGCAAGCTACCTCTCTGGCAGCAAACTGCCCTTTAACCAGCAGACCATAGAGCTGTGTCACATGGATATGCATTTTTAATGTTCCCATCATCAGGGTGTCCGAGTTCCTCTACAAACAGCACAGTTGGGGTTGGTTTTCATCTCTGAAGGGCTTTGTTTTTCTCTCAATTCTTCCATTAGTTGAAAGTCCCTCTATAATGCTCAAGATACAGACAACATGTACTGCAGAAATAAATAACACGGAGCTCAACAGTGCTTACCCCCAATTTAATGCAGTCATTAACAAATCTCTGATGGGACTGAATTCGCTTTAATGAGCGTGCACTTCTTGATCCAGGGACCAGATCTAGATAGCCAAGTTTCAGTTGCAGCATCAAACGCCACAGACAGTGCTGATCCTACAAGCAGAGCAAGCTGACCCACTGCTGGGCAGCAGCTGGGCACAGGGGCTGGTGCTGCTGGTCTCATGGCATTGCTAGAGCTGTTAAGGCATTAGTAACAACGCCTAATGTAAGCTGTGTACTTTTCATCATTTTGTTTACCTCAGAGTAATTACATGGTCACACTGTAACCTATATTCTCCCCCAGTGGCCCCACTGCAGGTGTACAGACTAAGCTCAGATACTTTGAATAATTACTGACATTAATAAAGAGCCTGAAATCCCCAATTCCTATGAAAGCAAAATCAGCGCAGCACACACACAGACATCAACAGCAGCACCTATAGCTCACCCAGAAGGGACGACAGAAGGGCATGGCAAGGACGATTTCAGGGTTTCCTACCTGAGATTATGGAAGTCTGTGCTGCTCATGTTGTAACACACAAGTAGAGAACGATTCACTGAGGAACACTCCATTAAGAAATCCCAATATATTTCTCTGCTCACTTTAGTCAGTGCACTCTACAGTATCTGGGGGTTGTTTGATGGCTTTTTTGAGAATATTGATTAAAATATTTCTCACCCAGGAACACCAATAAGCAGAAGTTCTCCAACAAAAACACTGGAGGTGTTTTGTATGCTGTATGTGCTTCCTCACTGCCTCCAGTAGCATACAACAACCTGTTAAAGAATAACTGCCGCTGTTACCGACCGGTACTGCACAAGTTCTTCAAATTCCTTGGCCAAATTTTTCAGATCTAGAAAATCTGTTGAGACCCAAAAAGAGTTCACATATTTCCAAACCGACCCCAACTGCTGTCTCGTGTCTTCCTTTCTGCTGAAGCAAACTCCCTGAGGTGATAATACCGAAGGATGCAATGGGATGAACCACTGAAGCAGCAAAAGCATGAGAGAAGCACTTGTTCCAGGGGTTACTCGTACCTACCTCTCAATAGCTAGAGACAGAACATTACACAAAGCACTTGCATACATTTCTTCTCATTGTCAAGCATCGAAAACAAAGCTGAAAGGTTAAGCACACTGTTACAGATGCATGGGACAGGAGTTAAACAAGCACTTCAACACACCTTGAACTCTCAATGTGTACTTCAGACCCAGATTTTTCTGTGACTGAAGTACATGCTGAAGAACTTTGCTGAACAGGCAACAGTCACGGGATGACACGTCCATTTAGAGCTGATGGATGTGCTTGAGCACTTTATTGCACAGATAAAAAAATCAGATAGTTTAAATGTAATCATAGTGCTTAAGCTTCAAGTTCAGAAAAATTCTCCATAGTATTTGTTATTACAGAGTGAATGTAGGGTTTAATCTCATTTTCACTCAGCTATTCATTGCATTTCAGATTTAAAACTTTTAAAACAGACTAACAAATTAGAGCAATTCCAGCCCAATTACCAACAAAGCTTTCAGCTTTATCTGAGGCTTTTCACCTCTGTTATCACAGAAAAACCATTCCCACTATCTAAATAAGCTCAATTTTGCCAGTCATTGCAGCATTCTATAAATACACATTTTAGCCTTCTGGGTCCAGAGGAGAAAAAAAAAAATGGGGGAGGATGGGCGAGGGGAAACCACACTTTAAATGTCAGGCTGAGATCCTCTAACAACACAGTTCATGCAACAGCAGAGTAGGCATGGCTGTGTTCTGGTTTTGTTTTATTTCACTAGAAAGCCATGCAGAATACAAGAACTAAGCTAGATAGCCATTTGGCTCCAGGAGCAGTAGAGCTGCTCATCTCAGACTGCCAGCAAACGAAAGCAGCTGTGTGCACAGAACAGAGCATAGGGGCACAAGGGAAGACCACACCTCTGTTCCCTGCAGGCATTCCCCTCAGCAGCAGCCTCCTCTAGGGCCAAAATCACACCGAGGTGACGGGACCACGTCTGACAGCCTCCACAAGCACAGCCTGCAGCTCCTTGAAGAGCAAAGGGATATCAAGCACTTTTCCTCAGAAGTTACTTCAGGAGGTATCCTTTGCTGCAACTCCTCTCATGTTCATGGCACTGACCATGGTCAGCCCCACACATACGCTGTTTGGATCACCTCAGCTATGACATAGTGGGATGCTATACACATTCTCCATCAGTTATTTGCCCAAGGATGGTGTGGCCCATGCAGCATTCTCTACAGACATAATGCAGTCAGGCTGTACTTTGCCACGCTGGGAATACACCAGCTCTGCAAGCCCACAGCACGGGGAGATGGGCTCCAGTCTAAAGGGGGACAGATTCACATACCATGATGCCATCAATTCAACAGGGCTTGCACGAAACTAGAGCAATTCTAACTTGCTGCAGAAGCTGGACTAGTCCCAGGATCAAGTCATCAAAAATAGCTCCAAGTCACACTTGTTTTCCCTTGCCTGGTCTTGGTTCAAACACAGCTTGGGCAAACCAGAAAATCTGGATCACATGCTTCTTTCTAAGCAACATTCTTGGCATTCTGAACTTCTGGCAAAGGAGGAAAAGTTGCAATTAGCACGCTAAGAAGACACGTACGTGTTGCAGCTAGAGCATGGACCTTCATTGAGAACAGAAGCACGGGGCCATGGTGAAATATTGATAGCATCACATTACCTCTATTAACTGCCAACGTTAAGCCATCGCAGCCACATCCTTAGGCAGGTCAGTGCTGGCTGAGACACACCACGGCCACCAGCTCCAGCGGGGTGGGGGCATCCATGCTGATGGAGGACTGTCCTGTCACAAAACAAAGCAGCACTAGCATCAGCTACTTTGACATCTGCCCTCAACTTGAAAAGTCTGCTCTGAGAAAGCTTGTTCAACTTCAAATGAGAGGATGAGTGGAAAAATATATCATTTTTCTGCCCAACTGAGATACGCAGATTGTGCTATTAAGATGAATAGCACAGCTTCTCTTTCAACACTTGTTATCTAGCCAGTGCTACTCTTCACTTCCCTTTTCATCAAGAAATCAAGTCCTCTGTAGCTGAAGAGCAGCAGGCAGAACAAAGTCCTCACGTTTACAGCTGCCCTTTCACTGCAGTGACAAGCCAGCATTAAGAAGAAAAAAAAAATCACTCTCACAGGGCTGCAGTGGACTCTTTCAGCTGACAATGAATATAGTGCCTTCCAGTTTCTTCACAATATTTTACTGACAGGAATATTTAAGGGGGTGAAAAACAGAAACACTGCAGGATGCACAAGAAAACGGAATTTTGCACTTGCAACAATTCTTGTGTTGCAAACTTGATTGACAACTATGTTCTCAATAAACAGACCAAATGTGTTCCATCAGTTATGCATTTTAAATAAGCAAAAGAAAGCTGCAATAATGAACTGAAGGACTAAACATTATCCAACAAGTTGGTGACAGAACCCTCCTTATGGGCACAGCAAAGGAAAGAAATGGCATTTCACTGGAAGAATAACAAATAATTGCACTGAAAAGCCTAACAGCACAATTTTCAAAAGCACTTTCATGACTTTAGGATCGATTCCATGATTTTGCAAGTAAAATTTGATTTTCCTCATCTATGTCACCTGAAAAATAAGGATTTGATTTTTGTTATCTCGATGTTGTTACTTAATGCACCTTCATGCCTCTTTGCAAAGTGAAAAGAAATAAGTATGGTTTGCAGAGTACAAAAATGATGACTAATATAACAAGCCCAATGAAGCAGGAGATTGCAATATTAATCTCACCACAGATGATCTGAATACTCGTGGATGGAGTTCACCCCAAGCAATCTCTTGAATGCAGTGCACTTCTGCTTACCAGTGCCAGCAATGGACTTATCATACACACAGCAGGGCAAAATTTCACCTTCTTTCCCAGCGACAGCCTAAGCACTGTCCAGCATTTATTTCGTTCATAGCCTAAGGTCCAAGATTAGGTAAATTTGCAGTTATCTGTCAAGAGAGATAACAGATTTCATCTTAGATTGCTATAGATAAAGAGCAAAAAAAAAAAAAAAACCAGCACCAAATTCACCTGGACACACCTCTGCTCAGGTTTCCACCTGTCCAGCTTGGTCATGCCAGGTTAAAGGAGAAAAGCTAAAAAGAAGAAAAACATTTTGAAGGAAGAAAGTGTTAAATGTCCCACAAATATTTCTCTCAGAAAGTGACCAACAATGTGATATAGCAATTATTTAAACCATTGTAAAGAGAAATATCCCAAGTTGAGACTTCACTGGCAGTCTCTGGACACTCTCAGATCTGGCGTTTGGATTTTGGGCGGTATTGTGTGGAGCCATGTGTTGGACTTAGTGATCCTTGTGGGTCCCTTCCAACTCGGGGGATGCATGCGGTGGCACAGAGGCTCCCACTGCTGCAGGCTGTTCTGGAGCGATGCTGCTGGCCTGCTGCTCACTGCTCCCCAGCAAGAACCATATCAATTTGCTGTTCTCCCTCACAGCTTCCCCATATTTAGACTCTCCCCATCTCGTACCCCAAAAAAAGCAGACCGAAGAAGACACGCTGCTCTTTAAAAGTTATTTACACAGCCCATTTTCCCCACCTGATTTATCAAACCAATAAGTGCTGCCAACCAGCAGGTGGGGACAAAGCCGGAGGCTGCCTGCCCCCATCCCACAAGCTTCCCAGGAGGAACTGGCGCCAGGTCCCACAACACAGGCACCAAATGCACGCTTCAAATGCAGCCAAACTGTTTTCCTGACACGGAGAGATGCTGCTCAGCTTTATTCTAGCTGAGCCTCTGCGTTGCTCATCTGCAGCGCAAGGTATTTTGTAGCACTACTCAGCTTCAGAGCCATTGCAATTTATTTACTACAGGAAAAGAACAGCTGAGCAGAAAGCTCCAGAATACAATCAGCTAGAATGCCAGCTACGTGCCCAGTCATTGATAAGAAAACAATGTACCTGTTACTCCGCTTTGATTCAAGATGTTGCTGTCAAAGATTCCAGCAACCACTGTTTCTGTACCAAAACACAATGTGCATCTGCTTTTCACCCTGCATATTCTCTCCAAAGCTCTCAAGGTCTAATTGTAAAACAAACTTTCACTAAGTAATGAAAAATCACATTTCAAAAGATGTGTTAATAGTGGCCATAACTTCTGTGTCATTTTTTAAGTCTTCCTCCCTCTTGTCTTCCATAGTGTGCATCACACATGCAATTGGCTTTGACTACAAAACAAGCACTTTGCACATGCAATTGGCTTTGACTACAAAACAAGCACTTTGCACCGTTTACAAGACAGGCATCAAGTACATTATAGATCCTGAGAAATTAAGAGCAGACAATTGAGCTGTTATCTCAGCATCATGTTTATGCTTTTTATTTTTGTCAAGGCTTCTCAGAAGTAACGCAGCATTTCATAAACCTCTGGCAGGCTCTGGAGAGGATCTGGGTCTTTTACATGAGATAATGTAAGCTTTCTTTCTGCTCGCTTGGAGCAGGTCGTTTTGGGAACAACCCAAATTCACTTCAAAATATTTCGTCCATGTGCCAGAAATGGCTTTTGAAGTGCTGTGCCCAAGCCACAGGCGGCTCGGTGCCAGCAGGCGCGAGAGCCGGAGCAGCAGCCCATAACAGGAAGCGTGTCAGCACTATCTGTCCAACAAGAGGGTGGGGAAGAGACAAGGGAGTGGTGCAGACACTCATCGAGTGGAAAATCATCTGACATGTCCTAGGTCTAGGATCAGATCATGGATGGGTCAAATGACATCCATTCAACTCTCGAGATCAAACAGGGCTTTATTCTTTCATATTTTTGGCCCCTGGATGCGAGAGCATGTTGTAATATCATGCTTTTTAAAGTGCAATATGCAGGAAATCATATTTGAAGGGTCTGGCATGTATGGTATTTTTACGAAGTTCACTTTTCCCTTTTGCTTTTCATCTGTTTTCTACTTTTTTTTTTTTCTTTCCACCACGCGTTTCCTTCTGATTTATTGTTTTATTATTCTATTTTTAAAGTAAGAAATATTTCAACTTAAGAGTTTTTAATGTAACTCATATGAAAATTAGTGATGGACAAACCTCAGGCTTTTGAGAGGTTTGATCTGGTTAGGAGAAGCATCCAGAAGTTCAGAGGCTTATCCAAAGCTAATCTGAAAATGTCCAAACCTCTTCGGTCTAGACAGAGGCACAGCCACCCGTTGGCTCAGGACTCCCACCACTAACTGGGCTCGCCTCTCTCATTGCTGCTCCCTTGCCGAACATCCAGGGCTGGTTCTTACCAAGTCCTTGCTGAAGAGCACATAGGATACCCAAGCACACAGACAGGGCTCTTGGGCATCTGCAAAGCAACAAACAGATGTTTAAGTCTTATAGGAATCAGAGAAACTTAAAGCACGTGCTTAAGGCCCCTGTTTAGCAGTAATGGTTTGCTGAGTTTGGGCTCATACTATGATTCTGACTTGTCATGTCCCTGCCCTCCAATTGCCATCATTGTGCTTCAAAGCTAAGATCCAGTGCCTCAATGCACCTTACATAACAGCACCTATGTCATCAAACACAGAGGAAGGAATGTCTCGGCACTGGATGTCACACGCCAGTCAGGCTGATAAGGATAGATAACATTTCTGTGACAGCTTCATAAAAGCATTAGTGTATCAGCCTTGGTATCACCTGGAACTTGTTCTATTCACTGTTTCAAGGGGTCAAAGCCTGAACTCTACTGAGAGGCCAAATACCATCACGAAATCAGGTACACCTGGTACAACCACATCAATAAAGTTCCTTCACTAAATTTCAGTGGTTCCCAATATTCTCTAAAAATGAAGAAATCCAAAGTATCAAATGCCAACACTCTTCTCAGTATCACATCTCCATCTTGTCCATCTCCGACCAGCAGGGCTACATTCAAAGCAGCACAAACCACAATTCCACAGAGGTAGCCTAAAGCCATGTTGAGACTTGTCACAAAATTTGCAGATCAGAGCTCAATAAACACTGGCTCAGCACGAGTCACTCAAAGAGAACAGGGGCTCTGCTGTCACCAGCACCTGCTGCACACCAGAAATGAACGTGTTGAGGAAACTGAAAGCAGCAGCACACAACTAAGAATTCCTTGTGACTATTAGCACTGAAAGGAAAGCAGGCTGAAGAAAAACTCAGGTGAATCCATACAAGCGGAGAGGACAAAGGACACGTACTGATCCTGAACTGGACACATTAGAGAACAACAGCTTTGACAGGAATGATTGATTATACGGGTAAACGACACAGAAATCTGGAATGTTTTTTTCTGCAGAAGATTCTAGGGTGTTCCTCATCAAGAAAAAGGACAACACAAAGAAAACCAGGATGGAAATAACTTGAAAATACTTTTAAAGGGGCCTGGCATCCTGGGGCAAAAAGAAGACACCAGGATAGGAAGAGAGGACTAACAGTGTATGGAGATGCCACAGAAAAACTGGGAGGCAACGAAGTCCTTGCTCAGATAGAAACTGCTGTGTGAGGTAGAAAGTTGATGGTGATACCTTCAGCCAACGAGGAGCACAGTGGGAAGATGAAGGATGCCATCTGCAGCTCACACACACACACACCAGAGGCATAGCCCAGCACAGAGCTACAATTCCAAAAGTGATTATAAGGTTTTATTTAACAGTTCTGTGTGGGACAATTCAACTAGTTCAAGCTCTAGCAAGTTGCTAGTGATTGATATACCAATACGTCTCAGTGACCTCAATGGTTTACAATCTTTAAAAAAAAAAAAAAAAAAGAACATTCCATCTCAAATAGCATATAATCAATCTACAGAATTTCATCCAGCAGGCAGTCCTGTGGCCCAATTCTGTGCTGGCAGTGGAGTCTTTTTATGAGCATTAGGAACAATCCCAGTTACAAATTAAAGCATTAAGACCTTTTACCACCTGAATTTGGAAGATCCTCTCTTACATTTTATTTAGAACTTTTAGAACTGGGGAAGAGGAGAAGCTGAACTATATGCAGGTTTTTTTCTTGAGGCCCTTCTAGATGTTCATTTATCAGCAATACCGTCAAGTAGCCAGAGCTGGCAGACCTGAAGGACAAGAAGCTGCAAGTCTTGCTCCACTAGCTGAGAGAAATGCCACATCTTTGATCAAATTACAGCCTAACGTCCACTCACATAGGTAAAATAAAGATCTTGGTACTGAGTTCATTCACACCCACTGAAACTCAGAGCAAACAGACTGGCACAGTGTATCTGGAAAGATAAATTAGAAAAGGCAAAGGGCAGAACACTGGAAGACTGATTTCCTCCCTGCTCAATGCCAAATTCTTTTTATCAAAGGGATTTATACAAGCTTTCTTGGGAAAAGAACTCAGTTTCTAAAAGGGTTCTGGCTTTATTTAGGGAGCTTTACACCAGGAATCTAACTTTCAAGGCTAGAAAAAGGAGATCCTTACGGAGATTTCAATGCTTTGTCAACAAGAAGAGAAATAACTGCTTGAAATGGCAATGACTCTAATTTCAAATTGCCATTGCTTTGCTCTGCTCTTTATTTTTCAAAACAATCAAAAATACATTTATCTCCCCTCTTCTTATAACCCATTTTTCTGACCGTGACATCTTAGAAAAACTACTCAGTATTATTTTTCCAACACAGCTTCAGTATCAATGAGCCATGTTATGCATTCTACAACACTACAGATGTATTCCCTCTCCTTAGAGCTATGAGCTGCACATATGTATCTAACCATACACCATGTTATGTGGTGTTATGAGGTGAGGTTCATGAACTACACACTTCGTCACTCTTTATCCTCAAGTGGGTCTGATGCCATACACAGGATAACAAACACGGCTGCAGAATTCCCAGGATCGTGTTGTGATTCATCTATACTCAGACATTCTGGAAGACGAGCATCTGAGACCGGCCAGAAGTGGAGTGGAACAACTGTTTGCTGAGGGCTTCTTTTGCAAAAAAATATTTTAAACATTCTTCATTTTTCCGAATATCAATTCAGCTTCCCACTCCCTTTTCTAAAGCTTTTCCTCTAAAGCGGATAACATTTATGTCTGACCCTAAAATTCCACGTGAAATGAATTATACACCCAGTGATTTGAGCTTCCCAGAACAATAACTGAGAGACAGTTTGGCCTT